TTGCAGTTTGATAATAGCTAAACTTGACCTCAATTTGGAATATGTATGGAAATATTCTTTTCTTTTGCTCTGCTGAGTTAACTAATAAATGAGAGGCCAAATTACATCTAGTGGGACATTTTCTTTTTAGAAATAAAACCTAGTAGAGGAAAAATATCTCTACTGACATCTCATGCCTTACAATCTTCCACAAATTCTTCAAAAGCAGATAAGCACATTAAGTAGATAAGTGGTGTTTGGGAAAGGAAGTTGATTTAACACTCCCTATGATAAAAAAAAAATCTAAATTCATCAGAATCCTTTTAACTTTTGGGATGTATCCAAAAATAACTAATCAATGGTTTTTCATGACCTACTTGTTACCCTAACATATTTGTTTGCATAAATGAGTAGAATCTTATAAAAGCATCTCTGTTAACAGGAGGAAAGGTATAATGAATTGGACTCACTCCCTCTGAACCATCAGTTAATAGTCACGGCTGTACTAGGCCTTAGAAAGGTTAGGCCTTCCACCTACTCAGAGTCCAATCCTCAAGACCAGTCTCTTTTTTGCACACAAATCACCTACTGCTTAGCTTTAACTACCATGTGACAATACTTTTAGAGTACGTAATTGATAATGTATGGCTGAATCTGTCCTGTTTTATGGAAACTTCCATTAGAGCTCATTTCCTTCAAACATTTCAAAATCCTTCTCTCTTCTGTTTCAATCCTAAGAGGCTAGAGGAGACTGTGGGACCCCAAATTTAGCCCTAGGTCGCTGCGGACACCAGTTCAATCCTCACTCTCCATCTCAGAAATAGCCCTGTCCCCAAGGCAGTATTACACTAAAGGGTCTTCCAGATACCTGCAGGAGTGACCTTCTCCCTCTCAACACTGAGCTCACTAAATTTCCAAGGAGGATCCAGGCCATCCAGAAAAATGTCTTGGTGATTTCTACATTTTATAATTATGGGTCGAAACCACCTAGTTCTTACTGTGGACTGAGTGAATTGGCACTGTGTTACATGGCAGAATATGGACACTCTATGATGTTTGACCAAAATACAGAGCACATGACTTTCATAGGTTAGACAATTTTTTAAATCTAGAATTAAATAACTTAAAAAAACTCCTCAAAACCAATTATGTTTTAGGCAACAATGTCTTTTGTT